TACGTTCTTTCGGTATGCAGAGATGTGGGCGCGTATCCGTTTATAAGAACCCTGATTGTTTATATTAACGCTTATAGATACACAACGAGTGTTCTGTTCTGACCTGGTAGGCTACTGTATAAGAACTCTCAAGGTTAGCGTCCCTATAACAGCCCACCGCATCAGCACGATCAGAACACTCAAGGTTAGCATTCTGCGAAGTTGTAAAGCAACCAACCATTGCGTGGTCTCGTTTGGAAGACTGGGACATATTTCAGCTCATAAATGACTCCGAATCAGATTGTTGTAAAGACAATTCTGAGAGTGGCGTTGAGGAAAGTGAATCAGAAATTGATTTCGACGAAGAACCATCATCTTGGTCGGCAACCTGGGGACCACCACACCAGCATGGCAAGAGGAGTGTGAATAATTATTCAGGTGGAGCTGTGGGCAAACTGTGGCAAAAAGTTATAGCATCTGTCGTCGAACCTGGAAATGGACAAATAAACTATTTTTCCATCTCCTGGATCTGAACAGTTACATCCTGTTGTCACAGAGAATTTCGTCTCGCTCTTGTGCGGAACATGCTGGAAGGGGGTCCATCTCGACCTGAACGGACCAGGGGTCGAACCCCTGCCGCTTCATTGGAGATATCTACTGGACCCGTGTTTGATGTATTCTAAGACAGGAAAATCCATTGTTGGGTACTCTGACTCAGATTATTCTAATGGAGAAGATAGGAAGTCTTACTCGGGAAACATTTTTGAATTATCAAATGGACCTATTTCTTGGGAGGCAAAGAAGCAGAAAAGTGTTGCACTTTCTACTACTGAGTCTGAATATATTGCTCTAAGTGAGGCTTGTAAGGAGGGTGTTTTTCTCAGAAAAATGTTCATGGAACTATTAAATGATGACTCTCCAATTTTGATGAATGTTGACAATCAAAGTTGTATCAAGTTAGCCTCAAATCCAGTATTTCATTCCAGAAGTAAACACATCGATGTACGATATCATTATGTAAGAGAGGTAGTACAGAATGGATTGATTGATCTGGAAGATGTGCCTACAGAAATTATGAAGGCCGATATAATGACGAAGCGTTTACCTAAGGTGAAGCATGAATATTTGCTAGATGCATTGGGCATGAAACCTTTTGATTGTATAAATTGAATTTATGTGCCCGTGTGATTGTACCATAATATTTTGGTTATTATTATTAATTAGAGTTATTTAATTTACATGCTATGATTATGGGGGAATGTTGGTAATACTAATATACGCATGTTGTTTCTGTTGTATATATTGGTAATACTTATATATGCATGTCGTACAATCTAACCACATGGCTGTCCCAGTACGGTTCCAGGTAGTGTGGTGGTAAGTTGATATTTCGTATGTGCACGTGCACGCTAGTGCATATACCAGATGATATTACTGGATGTAAAAGTGGAAGTGTGTCGATCAAAAAAAAAATAAACGAAAGGTTTTACAACACGAGCCAGTGTCTGTAATTGTTTAACCTTTGGTTTTCGATTGATATTATGATAATAAGGTGCTAAGTTTTCTTCTTTTAGGTATTCTAAAATTGCACAAGAATTTACCACCGTTGGAAACTTAAATTGTTGATGTGAAACGGTGTCAATTTTTTTAATGCCTTTTATACTGAGAAACAATTTTCCAGTTTGATGAAGGAGATGCATCACTACTTGCGTTAGTCACTGAATTTATCTGTTTAACAAGTGTATAATTAATATTGTCTACATTAAGGGATAATTGTATTTGATCTTCTACAATTTTCACTATTTCCACCGCCGATTTCAATTCACTAACAACCCTCTGCAATTCGTCTTTTAATTTTAGACAGCACAAGCGTGGTGAATTAACATTTTCCTTAAAATTTTCCATATTTCCTACAGCGTACTTGCAATCAACACTCTCAGCGTCAGCCATGTTTAGCTATAAAACTCATTTCTCCACTACTGAGCATGTGAACAACAAGAATAAGTTTCATAAATCACTTTGATTAAATGTGATCTGAATGGATTCCGAAATATTTTATTTATATATCTGCTACCATCAAAAATATTTTGGGCTCAGAAACACTTCCTGTTGTCCATGAATTTGTTGTTGCGACAGCTATAAAGTAAGGTTTGTTTGCTGCCAACATTATTCTACGAGTACTATACTTGTATATGTTTCGGTGGTCTGCCATATACCACGTTAAGTTCCCACCTTTGACTTATTATTCTATAGACCGATGTACATATCGTGATTTATCACAAAGGCATTACATTTACTTTTCTCTACCATGAAGGTCTATGACTATGTCTTTAGTTTATTTCAAATGCGAAAAATAGTAGATAAAAATTTTGAAAATACTACACTCCTAAGACAAGTTAATTTCATCAAAGAATATAATTTATTTAGAAACAACTACATACCTGATTCTTCAGCATGCTGCTCGTTTTGATAGAAACTCACTTCACGGGAATCTGATTATAGTAGGAAATGGTGCGTAAAACGAATTTTTCAGACTCACAGTAAACGTCCGAATGTGGGTAACGTCTTTTGACCCTGAAACATGTAGTCGCAAACACAAAGGTCGTCTTCTATTGGATCCTGAGAGAGGACCAATGGGACCATGACAATTTAAATTGTGAGTAAACAATCGCGCAGTTGTATATTGTTGCCCTGAATTGTCATGTAGCTGCAAAGATCCGACCTATCAGGGTTAAGTAATTAGTCTGCTTTTTGATCGAACACAGCGCACCAAAACGGTAACCTTATAAGAAAATTTCTTCGGTGTACCATGTCAGATCCCTGAAGAAATGAAATTGAAAGTCATGTTATTTAGGATTGAAATAGCTTACCCACGCACTCTAAATTTATTTTCATAACGCTTACAGTAATTAACTTTATGAATATCTACAGCTCTTATTCATATCGAGTGTATGTTTTTTACTACCAAATGTGTACGAATACAGGCTTCACCTATTTATAGGCCGGGATAGCTCAGTCGGTATATCGACTGGCTACGGACTGTAGGATGATGGGAGGTTGAGTGCCAGAGTGGTAAGTATTTTCACTTCTCCATATGCTTCCCAGATACTCTGTTTTCCCCGGATTCATCTGTTTTTTTCACCCAAATTTTGTTCCTCCGTTTATTGTTTACCCGGAGTGGATAATTCTCCGTTTATTTTATTTAAGTCCATTGCGAATTATATTTCATCGGTTAAATATTATCATAAAATTTCTGTAATCCGTGGAAAATGACAGTGTTATAGTTTCTTTCGTTATGTTGCATTTCGTGAATATTGGCAACACTTGAGGTTCTAAACCAAAGGAGAGGTGGTTGGTGACAGTGTATTTTTAATCCGTTCAATCTTCGCTAGAAAGCTAGTGTCAAGTTAGCAAAAATGTTTGAGGGCGTAGAAGATCCATCAGAGACTCCTCCACGGAAGAAGTTGAAATTCCAGGCCAAACATAATCAAATAATCAAATATATCTTAAGAAATGGGAAGATATGTTCTGGTGGGTTAAGCTGGGACCAGACGAGAACCGGGCGTTTGGTACGTTGTGTAGGAAGGATTTTAGTATTTCGCACGGTGGAAGTAAGAACCCAAATTTACTGAAAGCTAATTGCCCTAATCATGTCATACATAACACAATTAAGTTTGCAGTTGACAGATTAGATGTTGATGTTGAAAGTGTAGTCTTAAAGATATATAATCACTTCTCTGTCTCTGCCAAAAGAAGAGAAGAGTTAAAATCATTCTTTGAATTTCTGAATTTGGAGTGGACTGAGTTTTTGAGGCATGTTCCAACTAGGTGGTTGTCATTAACACCAGCCATTTCTCGACTGCTTCAGAACTGGGAAGCAATGAAAAGTTACTTCAATAGTATTCCCAACTGTCCAAAATTATTATATAACATTTTCATGAAAGATGACCCAGAGGAAGCAGTGTTGCCAGAAATCTACTTTAATTTCTTAAATAATATTGGAAGTCAGCTGGAAATGGTAGATAAAACACTGGAAAGGTCTGACTTAAGTGTACTAGAGACTTACAAACAAATGAAACTTCTCAGTTCTAAAATCCAGCAGAGAAGGAAATACAACTATTTGGTAGCAAAGCAAAAGAACTCATTAATGGATTGTCTATGCCATTACAGAAAAAGGTTACTGAAGACCTGAACAGCTTTTATAGCAATATGCTTCAGTATGTGCAAAAAAGATATGATGTGATAGATGACAATCCCTATGCATCCCTTGCAGCATTTTCTCTACAGGAAGGGATTGAGTTCAAAGATTTTGAAAAGGCCGTAGAAGTGTTTCAGCTAAGTGAAAATGTTTGCATTGATGACCTGTATGAGGAGTTCAGCAGCCATCGAGATTACCTCTGCAACAGTGTGAAAACATATGCTGATTATGTAGTTAGTTAGTTATTTAGAGAGGGTGGGTTTCCCCATGCACCGCGACCAGTTTGATCTATTGTGCTTCCCTCTATGATATTCTACCAGTCTCTTTACCCTACCGATAAATGGTGCGTACCGTACCATGAGTCCCGCCGAGCAAGCGAGTTTGGCCACTTGATTAGCAGTGTCTATAATGCTCCCCCCATCTATCAGAGGCCTTAGAGGCAGGAAACATCCTGGAATTTGGCTTGGTGACCCCCTTTGGAGATATGAGGTTCTTTTACGTGCGACACGGGACACACAGCTTAAAGTCCCTCCCGGAGGACTTGTTCCATGAATTTTTCTGCCCTTAAAAATTCGACGACCTCCGCCGGGTATTCGAACCCGCGTACTACGAGTCATGAGGTGGGAACATTACCTCTAGACTACGGAGGCCGCTTGCTGATTATGTAGCAAACTGGCTTACATTTTTTTTCTTCAGTACCTGATCATGATGTACCAAATATTTCCAAAGTTGTAGGATTTTTGTTTAGCATCCCTGGCCCAAATGCTTTTGTGGAGCGAATCTTTTCATTCATGAAAAGTAAGTGGAGTGACACAAGAAACAGATGCTCAACAGATTTAATCAAGGCAGAACTCCAGGTGACAGTGAACTATGAAAGCAAGTCCTGTTCAGAATTTTATAAATTTTCAAATGGTGATGTTCAATTATTAAAAAGTGCTAAGAGTTCAGTGAGATACAATTAATAGACTGATCGACCAGCCCTTGAATGTTATGAAGATGTAGTATTTAATATTTGTGTGTTATACAGATGTGTGCTAGTTAATATTTTGTGCATTCTATAAATATGTAATAGGGCTACATAATATTTGTTTTGTTCTATAAATGTGTAGTGGGCACAGTAGTAGCACCATTCTGAGAAAACAGGATTTAAGAAATCGTATCAACTCAATAATGTAAAAGTAAATATTGATGAAGCAGCCCATAGTTTCAATAAATATTTTTCATCAATAACAGAAAATCTCAATATAAAGAAAACTAATTCACATGCAGCAATGAAATATTTGTACACTTATTGTCCAAATGGTTTCATGCTTTCAACTTTAATTTAGTCATGGAAGACGAGATAATTAGTGCAATTAGTAAGTTCAAATCCAAAAACTCTTCAGGATATGATGGCATAACTAACAAATTAATAAAACTGTGTAGACAGCAAATAAGTAAACCCTTAGCTTATATAATTAACTCAATAGCAGTGGGCATATATCCTGATAGACTGAAATATGCAGTGATTAATCTGATACATAAAAAAAGGAGGCGAAACTATTATACATAATTATAGACCAATAATAACTGGGTTTGCTAAAGTATTTGAACTGGTAATTTATAGAGGACTCAATGATCATATTACAACACACAAACTATTACTCCCCCAGCAGTTTGGATTCCAAAAGGGACTATCTACTACTACTACCACCACCACTACAACTACTACCACTACAACTACTACTACTACTACTACTACTACTGCTGCTGCTGCATAAATTAACTGAATACTTACTGCTTTGAACAGAAAAGAATATGCAGTTGGCATATTCTGTGATATAGCCAAGGCATTAGACTGTGTTGGTCGCAAACTCCTGTTAATGAAACTCCAATATTATGGAGTTCAGGGATCGTTCTTGCAGTGGTTTAACTGATACTTTCAATCATGAATGATTTTCCCCCTTGAAATAAGTAAAACTTCAGAAGTCATCATGTTTGCAGATAACACAAGCGTTCTTTGTACATCCAAAGATTTCAACACTCTAAAAATAAAACTGGATATTGTTTGTAGTCACATGACTAGATGGCTTCAGGCTAATCTTCTTGCATTAAATCTTGACAAAACTAAAATGATAAAATTTACACCAACAGTAGCTACTCATCATCAGCTAAATACTTTGCTTCTTAATACAATGTTGAAAACAGCTGAATTGACAACTTGTTTGGGTTTGCAGCTTGATAATCAGCTGACTTGCAAAGCACATACTAGCATTTGCCTCTTGTCTTAGGTGTACTAACATGTTTGATTTTGATCTTTTCTACACTTCAAATGGGTGATAGTGTGGCTTAAGGATCTTACACACAAAACTAAGCAATGAATAATGAATTTTTGTCAGAAGCCACACTGATGAGAACCATTATTTCATAGGGGAATAAAAACATAAAAATAAGCAATACACTAATTGTATATAATTTGGAGCTAGTTCCTCATAGCAGCTATGAACTGGTTCAGCTGAGGAAGAACATTGTTGGAAAAAACAGGAAGCCTGTCAGAAAATATCTCTTGAACAGTGCATCATGTTTCATGAACTATTTTCATCACAGAACCTTATAACCCTGACAGATCCCACTGTTACATGATATCAGCCTGTGACGAAGAAAATTATGTGAGGCAGTGAAAAGATATTAAACAGTAAAATGTAGTGTTTGCATGATACAGAAAAGGACAATAAAGAAAGTAAAATTTCGTACTGATATCTTCTATTCTAATTTTACATTTTGAGGCACAATATTTCAGATGAGCCGGGATAGAATAGTCAGTATAGTAACTAGCTATGGGATGGACGACTGAGGTTTCGGAGTTCAAGTCCTGGTAGGGTCAAGAATTTTCTCTTCTCCGTGTTGTCCAGACCAGCGTTTGGGTCCACCCAACCTCCTATCCAATGGGTAACATGGGGGCTCTTTCCCCTGGGGAAAAGGGGCCAGGGCGTGAAGCTAATGCCAAGATCAAGAAAATGTGGGTCTATATGTCTACTCCCCCATATGTCTTCATGGTATAGTGCTGAATTAGTTAAGCACAGGGAAAACTTTATCTTTTACAATATTTCATATCATGGTTGGTACATTCATAAATAAAGGCAGGTTAGGGTATTTCAAAATAAATTATGGCTTTGTTTTTCTACTTTACCACAGATGGGATGTTTAGACGCTGCTCCACACAACGGTAAAAGGTAAAGTTATTGCGTGCTTAACGAAGCACTATGCCATGAAGGCGTTTTTGGGAGTGGAAGTACAACTCCATGCATTAACCTTGACACCAGATCGAGGTGAATGGTTAGTTCTGTGCCCCAACTGCTTGTCCCCAGGACCCACTGTATAGGAGGCTGTGTGGGCCCCAGAGCTGTTCTTGGAATTAGAGAAGAATTTTATTCCTGCTTGGAATTTAATGCTGGTTCCCTGGTTCTCCAGTCCACAACCTAGTCACTATGCCAACATAGTTATCTCAACTGCACCCAAGGGTACCACAGTTAAATTCCATTTATTCTGATACTGCTTATCTGAATTTTGGAGTATTTATGATTTGAATGTTTCTAGATTTTTAATGGGGGATGGGATCTTTTAACCCTCCAAATGCCAAGCCCTACCTTCAAATGACCAGAGATGTAGACAGCAGAGAAGCCTGTTCTTTCTCTAAACATTGCTA